CCATTGGTATATTTTCAGCACATACTATGTATGAGAAAAAGCGGACATTAGTGCATTCTCAGTACATACTCAGTACATCATAGAACATATTCGAAAGCTGTGAGAATATACGTAATGTACTGTTAAGATATTCTCAGAACTTTCTCAGTATCTATATGTGCTGTGTGGGTATAGTCGCTGCTTTTGTACGATCTTGGACGTGTAAGAGTTAATACTGTTTATTTTTTATTTTTAAAGCCTAGCTGCAAAACAAAATTTGTTAATGAGTACAGACAAATTAAAAAATTTTAAACAATATGTGCATTATTAATTTTTATTCACCTCCAAACTTTTATTTATGTTATACATTATCACATTAGAGACCTATTCTCTATATCACATGTGTCATACATTGGACTCAAAAACAAATCACAGACTGAGTACTAATAAAAAAATAAAATAAAAATAAAATTAAGTTGTATATGTATATTGTGTTATGTATAACATAAATAACATACAATATAACACAATATACAATATATAAGGCGAGAGTGACCTTGGCTTTGCTTTGCTCTGAGCGCGCAGTTTAAACCTACATTTGTCATAAATAGACTTAGCATAGAATTTTTTTTCGCCTTTTGAGTTATGTCATTCAAAAGCTTGTTGTCGTGTTTTAAAGCTTCTATTTCTTCCTTTTGCTTTTTTATCAGATTTTGTAATTCTTGAATTTGTAAAGCTTCTGTTTCTTCCTTCTTATTTTTTACCTGATCTTGTAATTTTTGAATTTGTAAAGCTTCTGTTTTTTCCTTCTGATGTTTCATCTGATCTTGTAATTCTTGAATTTGTAAAGCTTCTGTTTCTTCCTTCTTATTTTTCACCTGATCTTGAATTATTGTTGTACTTGCGATAGATGGAGAATGAACTTGCGGTATATGAACCGCTTCATAGGTAGTACAGATGTTGGCCAAAATAGATAATGGGTCAAGATCGTCTAAAATGACAGATGCAGAAGAGAGTTCATAACTAGTTTCCTTTGAAGAGTTTATAGCATAGAGATCATGAGAAAGGCAAGAAGTAAATGAGAGACCTTGATTAGCATCCTGTCGTACACTCTCCACTGCAATGTTGCTTGTTCTGGCTATTATTTGGTTTTTTGCAGCTTGAATAGGTTTTGATAGCTTAGGCTGATTTGAGACGTAGCTGTGGTCATCAGATAAGCGGTTTATTTGTGCGGTGAGATTTTGGAAGGTATTTTCTACAGGCAAAGATGTCGTAGGTACTGCAAGATGCCGTAGCACCCTGGATCCATCTGCACGCACTATCTCCCACTGTGATGCGGCAAAGTGATCCTGAAATTATGACAAAATTAATCAACGCATTATCGTAGACACGTACGCGAGACAGGGTTGAATAGATACGTATCTTAAAGTATTTGAGATATCGTATTTAAATATATCTTATTTAAATACAGTATTTACCCACACAGAACAAAATATCTAATAGATATCTAATGGATATCTACATATCCATATGATATCCATATCTACTATAGATATCTAATAGATATCTAATAGATGTATACAATGTCTATATCTCCCGCATAACTAGCGAGGATATCTAATGTATATGCATACATTATCCACATATCCATGTCCACCAAATAGCTACCAAGGATATCCATTAGATATTTACGTGTTGTCCACATATCCATGTCCACCAAATAGCTATCAAGGATATCCATTAGATATTTACGTGTTGTCACATATCCATGTCCACCAAATAGCTATCAAGGATATCCATTAGATATTTACGTGTTGTCCCCTAACAGCACATGATATTCTGAGTATCATCCATAGAACTTATAAACATGGAAGGGAAAACGGGTCGGCACAAGAGAAGCCAAGAAGTGAGACTGAAGAAACTAGAATTCTGTCTCGTTCTATGACTTTTCCTCGAAATACGCATGCGCGGCCAAAACGAGATTACAATAACGCATGCGCGGCCAAAACGAGATTACAATAACGCATGCGCGGCCAAAACGAGATTACAATAACGCATGCGCAAAACGATTTAACGCATGCGCATAACGGACCAAAGTCATCTTCTATCTATCCTTGTCACACAGATGTTGGACTCAGTTTCAGCTTACGGAGAGTATATGCTATTCCCCTTCCATGTTTATAAGTTCTATGGTATCATCCCATTTTCATACTCATCGTACTGTGATCATCCGTAAAATACTGAGATCAACACTATAATATCTTTTACATTATCATTCGGTTTCCTTTCGCACGCGTATGATCTTAGGTCCCTGCCGGAAATAATTCTACAAAATTCTACAAGAAAATTAAATATAACTGCCAGAATCTACGAAATTCTACGTAAATTTAAAAAGTGTTATGAAAATCAACATGAAAATACTAGAATTGGAACACTTTTATTAATTTTTGTAATATTCTACAAGTAAGCAGATGTTTTAATTCTTTAAGATTTTGATTCCTTTTTGGTGTATTCAATACACAATTGTCCCCTCTATCATCGCACATCTGGCGGCTGAAAATCGAAGTAGTTCCGTTTGAGACGTCGATCGTGCGAAACGGACTCGCGATTAATGGCGGAAAGGGGAAGCACCGTCCGTTGAGCAGAGAGGCATATTTCGCGAGTTTCGTGTAGTTGGGCGCGTTTTCGAGAGGCTTGAGGACGCAGAGGAGCTTGGCGACGACTTTGACGCGAGGATATTTAGCAGCGGAGAGATAACCAGCACGGAGAAGGGGCCCTCGTCGGATGAGGGTCTCCTTAGGTTAGGCGCGATGGACAAGGGAATGGAAGTGGTAAAGGAGGGAGAAGAGCTCGACAGTAAGAACAGGAAGAGACAACATGACGAAGACACGGAAGATGGAAGGAAAAGGAGGGAAATGATGAACACGGAAAAAGGATGGCTAGGGGATGAGGAAACATGAGGCTGAGCGGGGAGGTGAGTGAGATGGACCAGATGAGGGAGGAGCTGGCCTCCCTCAGGGCCCAGGTCGCTGACCTCCTTCGAGAGAAGGAAGAGCGGGACCGCAGGGCGATGCCGCCCCCCCCCCCGCCCACCACAGACAGGGGGGAACGCCACCCCTTCGGGGGAGGACGTCCGGGAGGAGGAGATGCCGGAGGTGGTCGCGGAAAGACTGCCGATGGACCCTCCTCCCCCCGGGAAAACGGCGGATCCTGCGCCGCCGGAAAAGAGGACCTGGGAGGTCGTCACACCTAGGGACACCTCCCGGGCCTT